TTTTAATTAATAATTAATAAAATCTATCATATTTCATTTATAATACTTTTAAAAAATAAATAACCAAACACCAAAATAACTTTCAACCACAGTTACAGTACAATACAGCTACAATTATAGCACAATACAATCACAATTACAATTACAACACTTCAAAGCAATCCCAAACGCATCCAAAATCACTAGATCAAAACTTGATAATTGATAACGAAGAATTAGTATCAACCAATCAAATGGAAAACCAACTTTGGGCATGGATTAGGCTAAAATGTGTTTGACATGAGAATCAAGAAAACATTAAATTTGGTAACCAATCTTTATCATAGAACTAAAGCAACCTCATGACATGAACCTTAATGAGCCAATTAACTTCCATCTAGGACTTGCAAACTCCTTCCCTTGCTTCTGTTCAAAAACACATTGGCGCTGGTCAGTGGTCACCTATCCATTCTGAATTAATGGTAAAGTGGATAAACTTAGTGCTCAGATTAAAATGAATAATTGCACGCAAACAAACCAGTATAAAACAAAATGGCAGCAGCAACATCCACTACAAGTGCCTTTTTCTGTGTTTCTTTTTAAGAAAGGGCAAATGAAGCATTCCATTTTCTTAAATTTAAAGATTATGTATAATTAAATGAGGTTAGTGCTTGTCCGACTTACTTTCAAAAAATTAAAAGGAAAAAAAAATAAAAAAATACCTTAATTTATGCTTTAAAGTATGATATTTTAATCTTTTTCAATAAGTATTTTTTAAAATGATGTAATTTTGGAATACTATTCCTTCTAATTTTTAAGAGATAAGGTGAATCAACACTATTTTCTAATCAAATTGAGTAATATGGCTTGTTAAAAAAAATATTCCTGATAAGGGAAATTTAAAGCTTATGTATGATAAATTAGATAATACTTAAAGAATTGTGTTTTAGTTGGGTAAATTTAAATGTTATGTATAATTAAATTAGGTACTTAATACTTCCAAAGTTGTGACTTATAATACATTTAATTGAAAGAAAATGATGAAAATGAGAGAATTTTTTTATTAATTAAATTGTAATATTTAAAAATATTATCATTTATTCTTTTAATTTTATTAATTAAGATTTTATTTTTTTTAATTAATAAAATTTTTAATTCTTACATAAATAACTTGTTTTATACTAAATTAAAAATAAATTAATCTCAAACTAGGTTAAACTTCCAAATTGACCCCTCACTATTGTACGGACTCTAATTTGGTCCCTAAACTAAAAAAAAAACTTTTGATTTGATCCATATTGTTTATTAATTTAATCATAAATTGATTATTCTGTTAAAAAACAACTGATATATCTATTATTTAATGATAAAAAACCATTATTTAATAGTCATGTATCATTTTAATAATGAGACATATAATTTATTTTTGTACAAAATAATCAATTCGAGATTAAATTGGTAAATAATAAAGATCGAATCAAGAATTTTTATAGTTTAAAGACTAAATCAAGGATATACAATAGCTAAGGGATCAAATTGGAATTTAACCTTCAAAATACAAACAAACTCACGTAAAACATACCACCTGCTAAAAAAAATTGGGTAACGTGACTCGTTCATAAAATTATCTTTTCTGTAATGTGAACTTTTAGAATGCCAGAGGGGCAAAGACCAACAAACATCCGTAATCAAGGTACTTGCCTTGTAAAGGGTTGGATCTATTAAAAATAAATATTATTTTATAAATTAAATTAAATTTTTAAAATTTTAAATTTAATATTAAAAAAATTCATTTTAAGTACTGATTCAAAGATATATCCATAATATATATAAGAGGGATTAATATTTGTTTATCTTATCTCTAAAAAATTAAAAGAAAAAAAATTTTAATTTATATTTCAAAACTAAAATATTTTAATTTTTTTAAATAAGTATTTATTAAAATAATATAAGTTTAAAATAATATTTTTTAAAATATAAAACAGATAAATATTATTTTTTATATATATTTTACAAATAAATCTTTAATATATTTTTACGTCAGACTTTTTAGATTTGATGATATTAATTACATTTAATATGTGTACCTGCTTTTCTTGAGTTGATTTAATGATATTAAACAGAGTTTGCAAATTTTTCTGGGCGGCCCATTATTAACGCAGATGGTGTTGTATGATAATTTTTTTGTCTTATTTTTTTATATAATTTTTATAAGTTATTAAATGAATAAAGATATTTAATATTATAAATTTTACATAAATTAAAATATTATTTATTTTAATAATATATTAAATTATATAAAAAAATAAAATAAAATAATTATCCCAATAAAATTTTCCTATTAACACTACCCCTTTACCCCCTGTAACATTACTAACCAACCTCAGCGCGTCCATTACAATCGTACATGTGAAACACATTGTCTACCATACAGATCCATCTTTGAATGGAGCGTGATAAACACGCTTATTCCTTTGCGTGGTTTGCTATCGACCTCAAGAATGGAATTCGCGAATTAATTCGGTGTACAGGAGAAAAGGACCTACACAAATTGACGTTATAAAGGCCGCGAAATGACGTCGTTTCGCTCTGTCTAAATATCAAACAGTGACCTGGAGATATCGAAAATAGAAAAAAAAAAAAAAAACTTTGAAACGAGTCGGGCACACTGCCGTATTAGCTGTCCTAACGTCTATCGCCAGGCTGGAAATCCGGGCAGCAGCCCGGGGCTTCCCATTTCTCGGCCTATAAATTCACCTCCCCGTTCCACCTCTCTCCTCCACTCCCACAGCCGGTAAAAAAAACCACTTTCCCAAAGACTCGTTGATACTGTTCTTTCGCTGCTCTAGAGAATTCCGATGGCCGTGGCTCGCTGCAATGCTACGCTAATGGCGGTGCTCCTCGCTGTTTTTGCTCTCGTCGGTTTGGCTCAGGCCGCCGATGCTCCGGCTCCTAGCATGACTTCTGGTTCAGGCGCGATCTCGCCCTCATTTACCTCTGCTATCCCCGGCATTGCCGTTGTTCTCCTATTCGGCTTCGTCCTCCCGATCTGAGTACCGGGTTGCTAGCTGTCATTCGCTGATTGTGTGGACACACACACATACATACATATATATATATATATATTGAAGGTTTATATTTTGTTTTCTATATATATTGTAGGTTTATATTTTGTTTTCTTGTTTTTATGGGTGTGTTTTGTATTTCGCAGACAGTTGATTTGGATTTGTACTACGTAATTAAGATTATATATGTATTGATATAGTTTGTAGTAGTAATTAATTTAGAATTTATATATAAATATATATATATATATATTTGGTTACAATTCATCCTTTCGAGTTTTCTTTTTTTTGGAAATTCAGTACTAGAAAATTGTAATTTGCTGCTCAAACTTGAGATCTACAATTTTCTCTCCCGGCGTATCTCATTATCTATATATATATATTTTTCCCTTTTTTTTCAAAACCATAGAATATGGACACCACCACCACCACCACGAACACCACCACAATACCGGTGGACACAGAAAAGTTGGTCGCCACTCTCTGGCTTCTGCTAGAAGACAAATTTCTTCTGTGGCTTATGCCTATTCAACATAACCAATTAATACCAATTGAACAAAAAGTATAACTGAATTCTAAAACCTTTCTTCTTTTTTTAATTTTTTTTTTAACTTTAACAAGCACCCTTTCTCTCCAAATCATCTCCAACGCACAAGCTTCACGTAGAAGACAAATTGCTTCCGTGGCTTATGCTTATTTCACATTTAAGATGAAACTTTGAAGCCATGTGTGTGGTAAGAAGAAATACATTATCACATGGTCAAGGTTAATAGAAGAGTCTGCTGTTTTTACCGTTAAGAAACGGTAAAATGAAAGACATTTTTCTTCTTATTTCGGTTCCACAATGGGGTAATTATCTCATATTTTTAATTTTATTTTATTTGTATATTATGAGACTTAAATTAATAATGTTTTATTGTCAATGAAAGGAGACAAACATTAAATTATTGGATCATTTGGCATAAAACGGAGACGTTTTGGATAAGAAGAGAAATGAAAAACCTTTTTCTTTTTATTTCGATTACACAATGGGGATAATTATCTCATATTTTTAATTTAATTTTATTTGTATATTATGAGACTTAAATTAATAATGTTTTATTGTCAATGAAAGGAGGCGAATATTAAATTATTGGATCATTTGGCATAAAACGGAG